GGGAAAGAGAGAAGAGGAAGAAGATGAGGAAGCGGTAGCTGTTGCAGCAGAAGCTACCGATTGTGTCTGGAAGGAGAAGTCAAAGAAGCCCTTGTTGTTGATCTCTTCCTCTTTTTTACGTTTCTGGTTACTTTGATCATTTGTTATCAGAGCTCCCGTTGTCGGAGAAGCAAGAATCTGCAAAATCCAAACCAAAATAGAAGAACCCATATTAGAGAAACTTGTTTCTTAGAAATGAGAGCTTTTGTCTTTTAGTATCGGAACACAACAATTCACTTTTTTTTTTTGGAATACCAATGATTAAAAGATCGATCTCGGCTTCCGAACCCAAGAACAAAACGAACACAGGTTTCGAAAGTTTATTCCTTCTCAAAAGGACACAGCGAATCGACCCACTAGTTACTTGTAAAGCTCATTCATTTTCTGGAACATTAGCAACTAAGAGTTCAATTTCTTCTTCTACCCAAAACCCAATTCGAAAGCTCATCTCTTTTCAGACCGAAAGACGAAACGACGCCGACCCACCAAACCCAAATCATCTGTTCACCTCGGGACACCAGAAAGATTTGTCTTTTTTATTTCTTTCCAAATTTCGACAAGAACAATGAAAAATGGGGAAAAAGAGCAAAAGGGGAAAGCTTACGTTATTAGAAGAGGAAACGAAGGCAGGGGAGTCGAGGAAAACAGAGGGGCTGAAATTGGAAGGAGAGACGAGAGATGGAGATATAGAGAGAGAAGAAGGCGCAAAAGATCTGAACTTGGGGATCTCAAGATCTTCAAGAGATGTTCTTTGGTTTTGTTGTTGTTGTTGTTGTTGCTGTGCCCAGTTAACAGAAACACCCATCTCCTGTCTGGAGCTGCTACTATTTTCCATAGAAAGAAGAGAAGAAGCTGCCATACGGAAATGGGTTTTTGTAATTTGGAGACAGCCTCTGATACTTATAGAGGCTTTTCAAACTTGGAGAAGAAGATAATAAGAAGAAGAGGTGGTGTCTGTGATGTTATGTCCTCCCTGTAATATAAAAAGACATATGTGCATTGTCTGATTGGCTCGATCGAGGGTTTTTCCCTTTAATTTATTTTGTTTTAAAAAAAAAAACTAAGTTTGACCGTGGAATACAAAAGAGGAGAATGGTCAGATCTTGTGGCCTTGACTTTTGACTTTTCGAACAAGAGAGGCGGCTTTGTTTGGTGGCGGCTTCATCAGCTTCGCTTAGTTCTCTCTTCACCTTGCTTCTCCTGCCGCCACGTGTCTGCTCTCATTAATGTTAAAACCCATTCGCCGCCGAGCCGAGCTTTTGCTTAATCATCGGAGCAATCTTTGAATTTTCTTGACGTTGACCTGTTGAACAATGGATTTCCTAGAATGCCCTCGTCAAGTGAGGGTCCACTCGTGGGGGATTGAAGATCTGTAATGGTTTAGGTTTGAAATGGTCACACGCATTCCTTAGCCGTGCAAATGATATGTACGTTCCAGAAGCACCAAAGGAGTAAAGACAAGAGGAGCTAGTAACTTCGAATAATAATAATATCAAGTGTGTTTATGTTGTGTACATACTCTTGTATATAATATATACATGCATGCGCATAAAGTGCGTGTACGTGTGTGTGTGTAGATGCATGCAAGATCATCCTGTAGGTTGAAGAGTCAGTATACATTGAGGCGTACATGCATGGATGCATAGGTTATGTGCCACGCATTTGTATAAAGAGGGTACACGAATCTTTCCTTTGGTTCAAGATGATCAATTTGAACATTCAGTGTACGTAGATATAAAGACATTCAATAACTTATGTTGGCTGTCTGCCACATAAGAACAGCATATTCGTCTGCATTCATGTAGATGTATATATATATGTATATGCATGCAGATCCTCTTGTACATTCAAGATCAAGTGGAAATCTCGATCTAAAGTCTAGTTACGCCACCTTACTTTTTCATCTTGCAAATCTATCAATCATCCAAAACATTTTGCATGTGAATTTGGCAATATTACTTTACAACAGTATGTCCCAAATAGATGCTCTCAGGCGAACAAGATTGCATTCATGTATCTATAACATTACACACGCGCCCACTATGTACTTAGAAACGCCATAAATCATTATGGATTTCAGGCTGGTGTTGTTCTTTTTCTTATCTGCGCTCCTCGGGCGTGGAATAACCCTAGTATCGGCTCTCCAAATTTTCAACTGAATCTGGATCCGTTGACATCAAAGTGAGTCAGTGTTCATAAATGGTATTGTTTCTCCACATAAGACCAATTAAACTAGAGGTGGGCACGGGTAGGATATTCGAAAATTTGGGGGTACCCGAACCCAAACCCGAATGTCTCGGATTATGTATTTTATTACCCGAATTCGTATCCGTGAAGTCGGATACCCGAATTAAAAAACTGTAAGATAATTATCAGATATCCGCGAATACCTGAATCCAGATATTTATAATTATTTTCAATTAATTTTTTAAAATATACTTATATATACATATTCAAAATCAATTTTAATTGTATTTATATCCAAAATAAATTTATTTTTAAAAAATACATCATAAATATATCCAATAATATCTATATAATCATTAATATCAAATAAAATAACACAAAATCTAATAAAAAAATTTAAAATTTAAAGAGTAATTTTTTATTATCCGGGTATCCGCAGGTACCCGTGAGATAATATTAATTACCCGAATTCGATCTCGTGTCTCGTTCTTTCGGATATCCGACCCGCGGATCGGATCGGGTACCCGAAATTCGGGTTTTTTTCCGACCTGTAAATTAAACCAATCTTTCTCACCTCAAAATGTGAACCACCCTTGACAGCCATATTGGCAAGAAATTCCACAGCTTCATTGACCAAGCCTTTCTCACACTTCCTCCAACAAACCACAAGCTTGAGAAAACTTCACATGAAACTCCTTTTTTCTCCATCTCTTTCCATAGAATCTTTGCTTGGATCAGATCCCCGGTCTTAAGATTGCTTTTGAGGGTAGATTGTACGTAACCACATTAGGCATACAATCCAGTTCCTCCATTGAAGACATACCCTTGAGGTCATTTCACTTACATAAACAGTCACATTATACCTGCACACATCAGGAGCCAAGCCTAACACAAGGAACTCCTCAAACAACTCGTGATTCCGGTCTGCAACATGATGGTGTATAGCAAACAATGTCGGGCTCTATTCGATCATGTTTCATTTCATCTTCTAAAAAGCACCTAAAGGTTCTATTCCTCTCCCTCCGTCAATCATTATGTTTGCATAATCTCTTAAATCTGGGCAAAACCCAGTTGTTCTCAATTACTCAAGATACGTAATGATGTCAAAGCTTGACGCATCTTTTTTTGCTTACAGAGAGGATATAATCTTCGACCAGCAGATTACCCGTCATCATTCATGTATTTTATCAACTCGGCAGCAGAATCCATCCCACCAATTCTACAAAGATCACCGATCAATATTCTAAAAATTGATTCTTCGTCTTCCAGCCTAACTCCCACACTAAAAGCTTTCAACGAGACCTCCTGAACCCTTACAAAACCTTAATCTCTTACTAACAAGAACAGAGAGCAAGGCATTGAGCGAGTAAGCAGAAGGCACACACCTGAAATTCGGAATTCTGGAGAGAACATCGATGGCTTCTCCGACTTGACCTAAAATCCCGTAAACCCTGATGATATCGAAGAAAACAGACTCGGGTGTCTCGAAATTCTCGGACTTTCGAGGTGATCCAGAACAGAGGCGATGTTTTCTCGCTGAGCAGTTTTAGCTATAGCGATTTTTTATCACGAGACTGTGAGCTTTAGGTGTCGGGTTCGCAGTTATGGAGGCACCGTGTGCTTACGAGGCTCGGCAAAATACTGTCGGCGTTCGAACTCTCCTGTTGACGAACTGGATTCCCCGAGAACACGACCTGACCATGTCTGAGTTCTCACGAAACAATACATGCGATTCCACGAAGACGGTTTTGCCATTTTGATCGATCGGAAGCCGAAGAGAGCAAGCTGGTAAAGACCGAGAGACCCTGCACTGATAGAATGTGTGCCGTTTGAAATCAATTCGCTTCGCATGTGTGTCGGTTTATTTGTACAAAAACGGGCTGCGCGTTGTAAGTAGTTCGTGCCGGGCCCGCTTTTTCACGTTGTTTTTTTGGTTATATGGTTTTGTTGTATTTATATTATTTTGATTTTTGGAATGATAAAATATTTCATATGGAGTATGTAACCGTGTAACCAAAAAATGGAAAATCCAAGGAACGCCCCATATTTCCAATTTATATCAGAGTGACCCCTCTAGAAAGAAGACAAACAATTCTGGTCCCACATCCTTTGTTCTATGTTGTGTCATAACGTCTCTATCTTATCTTGTGGCGATATTGCTTATGGTCAATTTTCATTCATGTGAGTGGCAATCACATTTTAATATTTCTCTTTTTTATCTCCTAACCTTTTTTTTCTGACTGGTCAATTCTAATCTTATATAAAAAAAAATTAAGATCAATCTCTGAGTATTTAAATCATTAATTAAATTTTAAACTATGCGTAAAATCCTCGTAATTATTTTGCTTATATAAATCTGACTAATGGAATTGTGATTACTACGTCTTTATTAATTGGATTGAAGAACAACATTAGATCACAAAATAGATCCCTCTCGTATCATGTCTTAAAACAAGGATAGCATGTTTTATTCAGATCCAGATTCGGAATTATCTCACATAATCTTTTATTAGAGAGTAAATATGATCGTTAATTTGTTTAATCACGCATTTCAATAATTATAAAGACACGTAATCGGATAACATATTATATCAAAATCTCTAATCTGTTAAAAAATATTAAATACAATTATCCAACTAAAATTATTTTATTTCAAGTTCTCCGTTGACTACCGCGTCATGCGCGTGTTGTCAAGCGATAAATAGGCGCGTGAAGCGGGAAAAAGCCGCCCGTAAGCTGAGATGATGATGATTGATCAAGAAAAAAGGACAGAGATCGGAAAAAAAAGGTTTCTTTGGTGGTTCTTTTTTTTTTTTCGGGTTTGGAAAAGAGAAGGAAGCGAAAAGCAGCAAAAGAGAAGATTCCAGCTAATTCTCTCTCTATCTGTGTTCGTAGGGGAAGGAAAAGTGTTACTAGGGTTTGCTCTGGTTCCGGGAATTCCAAGCCGGAAACTTGAATAAGCTTATCTGTGTCCCGTTGTCGCTTCGGCTGTTCCGGTGTCCTGTCTCTCGGTCTTCTTTGTGATCGTGTTGGATTTTGGAATAGAGATGTCGTCATCTTCGACTTCAGCGAGCGTGGCGGTGGACAAGGCGACGAGCGATCTTCTGCTTGGTCCTGATTGGACGACGAACATGGAAATCTGCGATTCCGTCAATTCGCATCACTGGTACCTTTTCATCAGCCTTTGCACCGCGTAATAAGTATCTATAGAATTCTTGTTAGAATTTGATTCTGGGTCTTTTATATGCTAAAGTTGTTGACTTTCCTCGCTTGAATTCGTTGTAGCTCAGGACAAAATTTCCCTCTTTGATTATGCAAATTTAAGAAAACCTAGTCTGCAAACTTGCAATCACATGAACATTTGAGGATAATAGGAAGCTAGAAAGCAGAAAACAAAAGAGAAACATGAAGGAATTCATGCATCTGCATTTGGGTTTGGTTGCTTTGGTATGGTGTAGTACTCTCTGATCAATTCTTTGATTGGAAAGTATAGAGTTTGGATGAGAAGAAGAACGATCTATGTTGATGTTTTGTTGTTCAGGCAAGCCAAAGACGTTGTAAAAGCTGTGAAAAGAAGGCTGCAGCATAAGAGCCCTAGAGTTCAACTACTTGCTTTGACGGTATTGGTTTTTCATTCTAGTTCTCATCGTACTTGTTCATTTTGCAAACACGGAAGATTTGTGATCTTGTTGTGTCTCTTTCTTCGGATCTTGTTTGCTGTCGTTAACTCTCTGCAAGTTTTTCTGTAATAGCTTTTGGAGACGTTGATGAAGAACTGTGGAGATTATTTGCATTTTCACATTGTTGAGAAAAATATACTGGGGGAAATGGTCAAGATCGTGAAGAAGAAGGTAGTTACTATTCAGGATAGGGTTGTCTGTGTAATTTTGTGCGAGTGTTAAATAACAACGATGCTCCATGACAGGCAGATATGCAAGTAAGGGACAAAGTCTTGGGTTTAATGGACTCTTGGCAGGGGGCATTTGGGGGTGCCGGGGGAAAATACCCGCAGTATTACTGGGCCTACGACGAGTTAAGGGTGAGTCCAAACTAACAAATTATACTTTGTTGAATCACTTTCTCTTGGACAATGTTTGAGTTACTGGGCCTACGACGAGTGAAATTCATGAACAAGGCTGCTTTTATACCGAGTGGAAATTTAATATTTGGAAGTTAATTCCGCAAAAGATTATATATATGTATCATGTTGACAGTGTGGATGACCTTTGCGCGTATTGCAGCGGTCTGGAGTTGAATTCCCTCGACGTTCAGTAGACGCAGCCCCTGTAATCACACCACCAGCGACTCGTCCGACGCTAAGACAGCCTCATGTAGGTTATGGAATACCTCATGTCGGTTATGGAATGCCCAGCGGTTCTTCGAGAAGGCTGGACGAAGCCATGGCAACTGAGATTGAGGGCTTAAGGTAAGTGGACACTCTGCATTTTAGAGTTGGATTCACTTTTATCATAAAAAGGCTTCACATTCTTTTTCTCTTATCGGTTAATTGTAGCTTGTCGAGTCTCGAGGCTATGAGGGAAGTGATGGATCTCTTGAGCGACATGCTACAAGCTGTGGATCCTGGTGACCGTGGGGTATTTTGAATTCGATATTAAAAGTATATATCGGCAGTTTTCAGAGAGTCGAACCAGCTGTTTTACCGGAACTTTTCCCCGTTCTTGCAGGCTGTGAGAGATGAAGTCATTGTCGACTTGGTAGAACAGTGTCGGTCCAATCAGAAAAAGCTGATGCAGATGTTAACCACCACTGGGTTAGTTTAGTTCTCTGTTAGAATTATATTATTATGTTTGAGGGCATTCCATGATTGGTGAGCCAAAGGGGGGTCTTGATTTATGGTGGTAGGGATGAAGAACTTTTAGCTAAGGGCCTTGAAATAAACGACAGTCTACAGACTCTGTTGGCAAAACACGACGCAATCGCGTCTGGTTCTCCTCTCGCAATCCAGGCTTCAAAACCCGTTGATCTCGATCCAATCCCGAAATCTTCTTCTGAAGCTAAAGATTCTAGTTCTAGTTCCCCTGTGACCGCCTCCGTTTCTTTGGGGAAAAGCCCAATCGATGAGGAGGACGAAGAGGAAGATGAATTCGCACAATTAGCTCGGAGGTGCGTGTTTAGATACATATGATACCGTTGGCATTGTTGACATTTGATAAACCAAACCGCGGTTGTTGTTGTTTTTCTTTTCCGTTTCAGGCATTCAAAACCGGCAACTCTGCCTACAGATGGAAATGGTCTCAAGTCTGAGAAACCGTCAAGCGTGGATGACGCTGCTGCTACGTGCAATGCTCTGGCTCTTCCTGACCCGCCTGCACCTGTGAACACTTCCAAAGAACAAGATATAATAGACCTGCTAAGTCTCACCCTTTCAACCCCGTCGACTCCTCCCGTCTCCGATCAGAACACCCGTATCCATCCACAGGCTTCGGAACATTATCCTGAAAACCAATGGCAGTTACCCTTTAACAGCTATGTCGCTCCTTGGGCCCGTCCACAACAGCCATCTCATATTCAAGGGCCACTACCTCCCCAGTTGCAGCCACAACCTCAAGCACGGCCACAGTATGCTCAGTACCAATACGGGTATCCGCCACCGCCATGGGAGAACAGTTCCACATCCTCCAGCAACATGTACTCGACTCCTCGGTCTAATGCGACCACACCTTTTGCATCAGCAGCTGCTCCAGACTTACCCGGGAGATCCCTGCAATACTCCAACTCGTTCCCTGCAAGGCTCAACAACAACAACAACGGAGAATCCATGGTTGCTTCCGGACAGAAACCCTTTGTTCCTTCGTACAGATTGTTCGAAGATCTGAATGTGTTTGGGAATAATAAGACCGGAAACGGAGGAGCAGCTGCTGCTCCCAGCTTGTCTGGGTCTCAGACACAACAACAGGGTATGTCTGCTGGTGGTGGTGGAAGAAAATAACGAAAACAATGTCCCTACTCTTCTGTCCGCTACTGATTGATGATTACATATGCCCCTTGTACATTTATATACGGCAATTGTCTGTTTGGTTAAGGGTCTCTCTTATTTGGTTTTTCACTGAACGAATGATGAGACCATGACTTTTTTTTTGTCCTTCGATACCTTGCTTACAACATTGAATTTGTTTGCTTTGGTCGTTTTCCATATATCCCATTGATTAAGTAACACACACACACACACACACACACACACATACATATTTATATGTCAACAAGAACCAGACGCAAAAGCAGATGCCATCAAAGGAGATATTAGATTATACGTTGAAAAGAAGATATAATTATTCAGAAAAGGAAAAAAAAAAACGATGTGAGAGTCAACGAGATGTTGGCTCATCACATCAGGGTACACTGCTATTTTCACAAGGAACTCATATAAAAAAGGACGACACAGTCCAGGTGTGGTGTCCGTGTTCCCCAAAATGGGACGAAGTCACATCTTGGACATGCTGTAATCCATTGCTTCCACCAGATAATCTGCCCGTCACATCACACGATGAGAAACACACACCACATCCTTCCATTTTATTGGGGAAAAAAAACAGAGAGCATACGGACCTGCATCTTCCTTGGTGAAGCAGAGTGGAGGTGTGATTCTGAACACGTTCCCGAAGAATCCCCCCTTCCCAATCAACACCCCCAATTCTGTGTACACCCACACATCAACAGAATCAGATTTGAAAGGCACGGCTTCGTTTACAGGGCGGCAAGGATGGAGAATATACAAAAATTCACCTTTCATTTTATCCATAACTCTCATAGTCTCCGCAGCTGCAGGAGTCTTGAGCTTTCGATCAGTCACCAGCTCCACTCCGATCATCAGTCCTCTTCCTCTCACGTCCCCTATTACTACATTTATACACGCAACAACCGTCACCAACTGCTACGCCATATCCTTTCTTACGTATTTATATATAAGACGGAAGATGTTTACTTTGATGTTTGTCTTTGAGTTGAATGAGTCTCTCCTTGAGATAGGAGCCCACCACAGCCGCATTCTCCTCAAGTCTCTCTTTCTCGATCACTCTCAGGACAGCATGACCTGCCGTTGTCGCCACTGCGTTCCCACCAAAGGTGTTGAAGTAGCTGCGTCGTGTCATTACCTCTGCTATCTCCGCTGTCGTCACCACTGCTCCCAGTGGAAACCCGTTTCCGATCCCCTTTTCATAATCATTACGGGCTTTAGCGGTTAGATTCATCTTCATGAACTCGTTTTCAAGATCTCTGTTCCCGTTAAAGTTGACATGAAACAGAGATCATACATATTCTATGTGGCAGATGGATGGACTCAGAGCCCATGGAAACATGAGTGGTTAAGGGTTGGAACCAAAGAAAATGCTAACCTTAGCCATGGTTACGATGTCAGGGACCACACCATGGGCCTCGAATCCCCAGAAATTTCCAGTTCGAGCAAATCCGGACTGAACTTCATCGGCTATAACCAAACCCCCAGCTTTCTTAACAATATCGTAGACCGCTGGAACATACCCTGGAGCCAGTTCCACAATCCCTCCAACCCCCTGTGTCGTACCACCATACAGAACCACAAGTTTTACTGTTATTGTCATTTCGATTTTTTCATGAGATTAGAGTGTATTACAGTGGGAAAGCTAATATATATTATTACCTGGATAGCTTCGAAGAGAAAACGGGCGATGTGTCCAGTCGTTCCGTACTGAATGATCTCGTGCACATCTCTTGCATACTTTTCTCCATCCAAGCCAAACACACCTCTGTATGGGTCTGGGTTTAAAGCGTGGTGAACTCCGGCCTTCCATAACCAGCAACAAGAGAATCAGAACATGGAACTGACATTTTTATATCATCAATGGAAGCTAAGCAATGAATTCTTCTTTTATTTGGATGCCAAAATCATTTGCACCTTACATATCAACCTTAGCTTGAACATGTACCTGAACGACATTGAATTTCCAATTGCTTTGAGCAGTAGCCCCCATCGTCCCAGCTGCATTTCCGTGATACCCATTCCTCACCGATATAATGTCCTGACAGCCAGTGTACAATCTCGCCATCATGATGGCCAGTTCGTTCGCCTCCGTCCCAGAGTTTGTGAAAAACACCACCTAAACCAAACCCAATACAAGAACAAATCCCCATAAAAACAACTAATACAACAACATCTATGATCACATTATTGTAACACAAGAAACACGCTAAAACCAGACAGGAATGTGAAATCACTTTCTGAGAAAGAGGTAAAGGCACCTTGAGGTCACCAGGGAGCTTGGAAGAGAGGGCCTCAGCGAAATCAGCGATGGCATTGTTAAGGTAAAGAACAGTGGGGTGTTGAAGTCGCTTGATTTGGTTGATGACTGGCTCCACCACATCAGGGCCTCAGCGAATCTCGCGAAACTTTGACGATCTTTTTTTTCTCTGGGAAAAAATTGCAATCGATTTCGGAGCGTCATTTGATCCAGAGAACCCAATTCGTAATCTATACTAGAAATATCTCCGAGAATCAAACGAGCCGACGAAAACACGATCGGTTTGCATGATTAACACATGATGCGATCAGAGCCAGGATTCTCGGAAATGAAACAGAAAACTAAATCGGAAAACCCAACGAGAAAAGAAAACTGATCAGAAATTCGAAATGCATTGTGGCCCCGTGAGAGAGAGAATCGAACTCACCGGCTTGCGGTAGAGGCAGAACATGGAGGGACTGAGAAACTCCTTCCGTGTTCCGAGGATCTCATCTCCGGATGGGCCTTCGTACGGAGGAGGAGTGTAATCGAACGGCGGAAGCCTCGCGACGAACTCATCGGAATCATGCACGGCAGCCGTCGAAGAGAGGCGTCGTCTCCACCGGGAAATCGAACTTCCCAGTATTGACCTTTTCGCCGTGAATCTCTGCATTTTTTTTATTTTCCTCTTCTTTGATTCTCCTTCTCCGACGAAGATGCAGAGACTACGACACTGTTACGTTGGATTGAAACAATGAAGGAAGCTTGGGTTGTTCATATAGAAAGAGAGAGAGACTTGGGACTTGTGATTGTGCTGACGTGGCCTCTGTCCATCTCAATCCCATCAAATGTACAAAATTACCCCTCTCCTTCGAGCAAACTACGGAGGGCCCTGCGTCTCGCGTAACCGTCAGATCTGTATTTCTGATCTTTTTAATTTAGAATTTACTCTCGCAATTTTTGGAAGTTCTACACTTCTACCAGTATGTACATATATATATATATATATATATATATATATATATATATATCAAACATTTTAGAGAAAAAAAAAACATTAACAATCTGTTGACAGAAAAACAGTAATGATCAAGTATCATGGTAAAATAAATAAATGTTTAATATTTATAAATTAATATAACGTATGTGTTTTAGTTTATGTGTGTGTGTGTGTATTTTTTTGTATCCAAGTTGATGCAATTGAAAATGAGGGTTGAGTACTTTATATTTAATTTGAATTGGATTTGGTGTGGATGGAATTGAATTTGGTTTGGTTTTGTTGGATTATATTTTTATGTAATTCGATTTAGATTTTAGGAATTTTTAAAATGATTTATATGTTCAAGTGAATTTTTATATCAAATTGGATTATAAAATGTTCTACCAAAACCCCTAAATATTTAAAAAATAAATCGTTTTCTAAACAGAACCCGCGAAGTATTAAATCGCCCCATGTTTTAATGATAATATAACCAAATCGGCCATCTCTACAATAGATAAAATGCATTACATAACTATTCGTTCAATTACTTTTATATTAAATTTCAGATTAGAGTTTTTTCGTGTTTATAAAAAATATTATATCCACTTGATTTTTACATCAAATTGGATAAAATTACATGCTATTCGGCCTGGATTGGAGCTCTATTCAAAATTCAAATGACCGATTCGAATAACCCGAGCATACGGTACGGGTCGATTATTGAAATGTGTGTAGCCCATTATTATGATTTTGGGTCAGTGGCCCTACTTTCGAAATGCACTAATTGTTTCAATTTCAAGACATTGGGCCCAAAGATTCGGCCTTAAATTGGTTACGAGCCCATTTGTCAATTAACGACGTAAAAACATATATTTTTTTTTTCATTTTAGCGTTTTTTCTCTTGTAAATATGAAACCATTAACCGATAATGACAACATATGAATGAAGTTACTCATGTATGTATTGTAATATTCTTGCAACCCTTTACAAATATGAAACCATTAACCGACAATGACAACATATGCATGAAATTACTCATATATATATATATA